GGTGCGCGGCGTGCGCGGCGGCGGCGGCGGGGTGCGCCGCGGCGGCGGGGAGCGGCGCCGAGTGCGCCAGGCCGCCGCAGGCCGACGGGTGGAAGCCGGCGTGGTGGCCGCCGTAGATCTCGCTCACCAGCCGCTTCATCTCCTCCAGCGAGTTGGTGAGCATGAGGATGTAGTTGCGCGCCAGCAGCAGCGTGGCGATCTTGGAGAGCTTGCGCACCGACGGGCCGTGCGCGTAGGGCATGACCTCCCGCAGGCCGTCCATGGCGATGTTGAGGTCGTGCATGCGCTTGCGCTCGCGGCTGTTGATCTTGAGGCGCAGCTGCTGCAGCTCCGGCTCCGTCATCTGCTTCTTGTCCTTCTTGGTGGAGGACGCGGCGGCCGAGGCCGTGGACGACGAGGTGCTGGAGGACGAGGACTTGAAGCCCCCGCCGCCCAGTTTGTCCCCGGGGTGCGCGCCCGCCGCGCCCACGGCCCCTCGCAGCTCGGCGCTCAGCTCCGGCGGGCAGTCGCTCGGCGTGGACGAGGACACGGTGCCCCCCGTGAAGCCGCCGCCGCTGCCGCCCTTGCTCCGGGCGGGCAGGAAAAGATCATCGGGTTCCGGCGACGATGGCCGACTGGACACCAGGCTGGCGTCCGAGTCCATGGCCCCGGGGAGAGCGCGCCTTCCGAGGGCTCCTTCCTTTTCAGCCTCGGGGGCTTGAGGAGAGGAGGGAAATCAGACAGTCAGACAGACGCACAGACACACAGACGCACAGACGGGGCGGGGAGGGGAAGGAAGCGAGACCGAATCGCGCTGCCGCCTGCACCGCAGCTCAGGGTCCCTGCGAAGGCGGCTGTGTCCACCTCGATGCTCGTCCTGGCCTTCGGGCAGCCGGGGCCGCGCCTGGGCTCCTAACACATCTCCGCCCCACCCTCATCCCCACCCTCGCCCGCGGGGCACTGTTTCGGGCCCGCTGTGGAGGCTGGCTCCCCCCGGCCCGGCCTGGGATAAATGAGGACTGTTCCTTGGGCCGGAGAACTAAATAGAGAAGCATCTGCGCCTCCTGCACGGACGCCCCCAGCTCATCCCCCGACGCGGCGCGTCCTGCACGGACGCCCCCAGCTCATCCCCCCGACGCGGCGCGTCCTGCACGGACGCCCCCAGCTCATCCCCCCGACGCGGCGCGTCCTGCACGGACGCCCCCAGCTCATCCCCCCGACGCGGCGCGTCCTGCGCGGACGCCCCCAGCTCATCCCCGCCGACGCGGCGCGGCGGGCCCGCGAGCGCACACGCACCAGCAGCCCGCACGGCCCACGCTGCCCGCGCGGCTCCTCGGCGCCGCCAGCCCCGGCTCCTGGACCCCTCGGCGGGAGGCCGGGCCGGGGCGCTGCCGACCCGTGGGGGCGGGACCCCGCCGGCGGGCCGGCGCGCGAGGCTGCACCCTAGGTCCGGGAGGAGCTGGGGGCCGGTGTTCGGACCGGGCCCGGCCGGCGGAGGGCGGGTACTCACCGCGGACTCGACGCGGGGTGCCGGCCGCACAGGAGAGCCTGGCCCCGGGCGCGGGCGCGGGCTCCTCGCCGAGCAGCATCCACACCTTTCGGGGGCCGCCGCTCTTTATAGCTGGGTGGAGGCGGCGCGGTGGTCCGGCCGGGGGCGGGAACAATGTGCTTTTCCTGGAGGGGCGGCGGCACCAATGAGCGGGGCCGGCCCGAGGGGCCGCGAGGCTGACGTCAGCCGGCTAATTCCGCTCAATGAAACCCGCCCGGCCCGGCACACGCCTCCTCTCAGCGCACAGCCAATGGGGCCCGCGCTCGGGAGGGCCGGGAGGCGGGCCGGAGGAGGGACCTGGGCAGGGAAGGGAAAAGAAGCGGGAGGAGGAGGAGGGTAGGCTGGCCGGGCTGGCGGAATGGGGACCCTGGGAGAGAGGGGTCGCCCACAACTTTCTGTAAAACTCGGGTCACCGTGGCGTCGGGCTGGGGCAAGGGATGGACTGGGGACCCCCAAACCCGTCCAACCGACCACCCGTTGGATGTCTGAGGGCGAACGCGGAGGCGGCCGGCCACACCTGGGGCTGGCTAGCCTTCCCCGGCTCCGCCGGCTTCCCCGCCGCCCGTCTCTGCCGGAGGCTTTCCTCAACCTGTGACCATTTGGACGAGAAAAGGCCAGCCGCGCACAAGGCGCCCCACGTCCTCGGCCAGTTCTACTTGGTGGCCGTCGCTGCAGCTCCGGGGACAGGCGGTAGCGCCCCCAGCTGGGGGCATGGCCCTGGAGAGCACAGGGTGGGAGAGGAGGCAGGAGAAAGGCTCTTGGCATTTGGGGCAGAAATTCACCGTAGAGCTGAGGGTTGTGTGGGAAGCAAGGAGGAAATATTGTCACACAGTCATGGCGCCAACGCATAGACGGTTACCCCCCCCCCAACCCGTTTATTAGCGGGGAAACCCGGCCACAGCAGCTCCTCGCCACCGGGGTTAGGGGCACGGGCTTATCGAAGGCCCCACACGCGGGAGCTGATTCTTGAGCCACGCTAGACACCCGATCCGGAGAGCTGGCGGCCCAGAAAACTGCACATCCGCCCATTTTACAGAAGCGAGAGTCTAGGAGCTGATCTCAGCCTCCGGGAGATGTCGCCAGGCCATACAGGTGGTCCCTGCCTACCGCAGATGCCAGCGGGAGGCGGTCGGTCCCTAAGAAGAGGGACAGCGGATTTTCCTCCCAGCCCCCAGCTGCCTCTCACACCCAGACATGCCCAGCTCACATGTGTTTTGTTTGTTTGTGTATTTATTTATTTTTACAGATCTCGGATGCTCCCCCCCCCCCCAACCATAGGAGCCCAATTCTTTCTCGGGGAGTTTTAACGCTCTTTTGCAACGGTTATTTCCGTTGCTTGGCGTTTTAATTCGCATGTATAGTTTTAAGAACAAGCAAGCAGACGAACAGTATTTGGTGCTCTTGTAGCGAAGTCAGATCAGGCATGAAGATTCGGTGCTAAGCTTCCCTCTGGGGGTCGGGCTGTGGGGTTCGCCTCCGTCTCGTGCCTTCAGGAGCATTGTTTTCCAGCCCGCGGGTTTCCCAGCTGGCTCTGCAGCCATCCGTTAAATATGTGTTTAAAACACGAAGAACCGAAGCGTGCTGATAATGTCGCCCAACGGTTGCAGGGATGGACCCATAGCTGTTCAATTAGCAGAGGCTGTCGCGTGGGGGTGGCGGTGGGATTAGGAGCTTGGGCACGTGAGGACCGCTTTGGGGCTTTTGGGGGGTGAGGGCGGGCGTGGGGGTGCGCTCCTGCCGACGCCCCTGACAAGCGTCAGGCGGCACGGTGGCGCGCGGGCGAGGAGGTGGCACCAGCCGCCGGCTGCTGCGGCCGCCTAAGCTCCCGGAGCCCCGGCTCCTTCTGTCGCGATCCGGGGCTTGTCTGTGCTGCGCCTGGAAGCCTGTGAGAGCTGGAGCCGGGGACACTTGGGGAACCCGCTCTGCCATAGCAGGAATCTAGAACCTGGGAAAACCCAGCCCGACGTCAGGAGTGCAGGCTGCCGGCTCGCTCCCGGCCAGGCGCTCCGCGTCCCCTGTCCCCTAGCCTTTGACCGCTGCCACAGCCTGGTGCTAGGTTGTCCGGCAGGTCCAGCTGTGCAGCGGCACATCGTGGTCCCCAGGTCGGAAGCTCTGGCCAGCAGCTCCCAGCGGTCTCCGCCCTGGGCGGCCTTCTCTCCATCTGAGAGCTGCCCGCGGCCTGGGGGCCGTCGGTGTCCTCGCTCTCCTTTGGCTCAGAGGCCAGCCAGAGGCTGGGCCCGTTTGCTGTGTCTCCTTCCCCCCCCCCCACCATCGGAAACTGGACGGGGCTGCCCCTCCCCTGCCCCTCTCGATCCGAGAGACGGTTTTCGCCCTCTTCGGGATCTCGCTCCTTCCTGCGGTCCCGGCGGTCCGGGCCGAGTTTCCCACCAGCACACGCAGCCGGCTCGCTGAGCCTTTCCCGGAGTGGAGTGCTCCCTTGCCCAGGCTAATCCGCCCCGGCAGGCCGGGCTCCGGGAGGTCCTGGCTTGCCCAGGCGTCCTGGAGCTGTTGGCCTCCTCCTTCAAAACGGAAGACGTGTTTTTCCCTCTCCTTTGTGTTTCCTTCGCACAAAAGGCCGGGTGCGTGTAAGGGCCGGCCTTTGCTCCGCAGCCTGGCGGCCCAGGAGGAGCCAATGCCAAACCGGCTGGGGCGGACTCAAGCCCGGCTCCTGGGCGCAGACCTCCCACCGCTTCCCGGGGCCCTCATTTGGTTCTGGCTCTCCCCCTTCCCTTCCTCGGTTCAGACCAGCATTCAGGCCGCGGGTCTGCCTGGCTGCCAAGGAGAGCGGAGCCCTTGCGCACAATCCTCCCGGGGTGGCGGTGGCAGGCGAGGCTCCTGGCACTGCAGAGGGCGGCGGAGGGGAGGGGCGGGGGTCCGGAAGCCAGAAGGAATGCAGACCCGCAGCTTTGGGGCTTAAACGTGTGCGGTAAGACGCCTCCGGAGTCAGAACTCGGCAAAGGGACTGGCAGATTTTGGCAAACCTCCGCTCGGGACCCAGTCGGCCTCGCCAGTGTCCCGTCCGCTCTGCCCGCCTGGCAGGCATGCCTACCCGTGGTGACTGTTTCTGACGGCTCATTCATGCAGTTGTGCAAGAGCTAGTTAGTGCAAAGCGTAACGGTGAAACAGACCTCCACAGGCAGGTATCTGTTGTCTACCAACGTGTGCTCGATGGAAGGTAGTTTCTGTACTCCGGGTTGTGGGGTTTGTGAGGACCCCTTTTCCGAGCGGCAGGGCTGGCGACCACTTCGAGGCTGCCTGAGCTGGATTTGACTGCTCTGCTGTTGTTTTAAAGGGAAACACTGCTTCCATTTTACAAATGAGGAAACCGAGTCTTGGAGAAGTGTGAGCGATTTTCCCAGGTCCCAGCCCCCTGCCCTTGATGACCCTGACCGCTGAAATGAATCCCTGTCTTGGTCCAAGCTCCTGGTGGAATGACATTTAGGTAGGACCAGACTGGACAAGACGGAAGTGAACTGCTGGGCTCAGCTTACAAAACATTAACTGTCCGTTCCGGACAGCTTCTTTGGTATTGGGGTGGAAGTATCATTGTCCCCATTTTACAGATGCAGCCATTAAAGGTCAAGGCAGGGACTGGACCCCAAGTCTTCCCCAGCTTTGTTCTAAACTTCCATCCTCTTCCCCTCCCCGCCCCATCAAGGAATCACTAGGCCTTCACTGTTTCCCTGACCAATGCTGAGCTTACCAGACAGAGACAGGATTGGCTCACTGCTCTAGAGCGAGTCCCCTGCCGCCCCGAAATTATCCCGCTGTGTGGGGGCGTAGGCTGGAGAGAAAAGACCCCCCCACAGGAACCCGCAGGCAGGCATCCCTGCTCCTCTGACAAGTCCTGTCCTGAGAGTATGCGCCCTCTTGGTTGTGAGGTGGATTTAGCTAGCACAGACTGGATTCTAGAGAAGCACCTGGTCTCTGAGGGCCCAAGAGGCTCAACCAGGCCATAATTCCCCCGCGCTGGGTTTCTCTACCGCCTGCCCGCAGAGGGAGTGAAGCCTGCTCGGCTTCGCGAAAGGTTTTACTTAGAAACTGCAGCACGGTTCACTTCTGAGCTGCTGGCCAAGGCGTCTGGACCCCGGTTGCAGGTTGCGTACGGTCCATTCCACGCACCTACTCTCAGAAGTAGTTCGTTCCCGGCTCTTCCTTCAGCTTTCTGTACGGCCGCCTCCTTGCCTCCCCTCCCCTCCTTCCTCCAGGGCCCAGCCCTCTCCCACCCTGAGCTCCCCTGCGCTCTCTGTTGCCCAGCACGCCTTCACTCTAGCGCCCTCCCCTTTTCTGCACTCAGGTCTGGCTCCTTTCTCAGGCTGGAGCTCACTGAGTTCTCCCGACAGAGATGAATCAGAGTGAGGGCTGGTGGTGAGGCGGTCACCCCTGACCTTTAAAAATCCACAGGCCGCAGAGACAATGGCGTCCACGCTACTATTACCCTTCTATATAATCCAGTTCCCAAGGGATCTGATGAGGTCCAAGGATGCCCCTCGGACCATGGGGGATGGAAAAGGAGAACCATAACATCCTCCCTCAACGCAAGCCAAGTAGTCCCTGCCGCCCGGTAACCCCGGGACAGAGCACAGCTACCTGGCTCTCAGGGCGAAGGGAGCCACCTGCTGCCTGCTGGCCCGTGGAATCAGAGGTAAGTCCAGGCCGCCCAGAACCACCGAGGGAGGGGACAGTTGACCGGAAATGAGGTGCGGATGGCAGCTGCGATGATTCAGGGCGGGACTAGTGCGCGACTGAGGTAAAGTTCTCCAATGCCGGCGGGCGCGGTGGGAACCCACAGAAGGCAGCGCATCCGCAGCCCCCTGGACTTCTGGCCGCCTGGGAGGCGCCGCGCTGAGCCAGGCTGCAGGATCCCGCTGCAGACTCGCCGCTTGGGTCGGCTGCCAGCAGCAGCCTTGCCTCGGAGGGGTGGCGGCAGCCGGCAGCCGCAGGGCGGCCCAGCACCCGCGCTGTGCTAAGGTTTGGAGAAGGGCGCAGGGAGAGAGCTGAGGCCGGGCTTGTGTCCGTCCAGTTTCTTCCCTCTGTCA